AGGGAGACAATCTGCTGATTTCCTCCTCTTGTGGCTCCATGAAAAAGTTTAATTCCTTGACATGTGGTGACTTGACTGGTCTAAAAAATGAAAGTCATCCACTGCCTAACTTCTCTCAACTAACTTTTATTTTCTACAAAATAGCAACTTCAAGTGCTTGGAAAATCTGAAATGTGTCCTTTTCTTGCTCTATGGAGTTTAGCTTCTCCCTATTGGACAATGGTCAGAGCACCAAACTAAAAGGTGAGCAATGCTTTTTAGTTCGTGCCATTGGGCTGTTGAAAGCTAATGAGTCTCCCATGTAACGATTTGAGTGAGTGATAATAATGCTGTTGATTGGGTTTGATGATGATGGATGGGTGTACTCCAGGCGTCATTTTAAGCTATTACAATGTACCATGTGTTATGTGAATGTACAAAGTGTTTTATGTACTTTATTATGTTTTATGAATCATTTTTTCAGTCTGTGTGCATTGGGTGTTTCACCGAGTGTTACGGTGTGTGCAGGAAGCAGGACCCAAATGCAGATTAAAGTGGCAAAAATATCTCCTTTATTTCAAGGCTATACTAGAAACACAGACAGAACAGAACACTCACCGAAGACCAAGTCAAAACACAAGACGAACCGACAAAGACAGACAGAAAAAACAGAACTTAAATACACACAAGACTAATCATACAAACAAGACACAGGTGAGGAGGGAGGAGAAAACATAGGGACACCAGGTGAACACAATCGGGTAAATTAGACACACCAGGGAAACTGACAGGGAACCACAGACAGATCTAAACAAGACAAAACACAACGCAGACAGAAAACCAAAGACAGATCTAGACAAGACAAAACACAACACAGACAGAAACAGCCAAGACAGGAGGTGAAGACCTTTCAAAAATAAAACATGAAACAAAAGACAGAAAAAGACAAGACAAAATACAATAAAGACAGATCTTGACACCGAGACAATTGAGCTAAAATTGAAGTTGGTTGGGAACATTTTTCCTTGTAAATAATATAAGTTATGACACAGATTTTAATTTCCCTCTGCCCCTTAATAAAATAAACACACACACAAGCGCTGAGTGATCCTCCGGGAAGAATGGAGCAGCTGCAAATGTTTGTCTCCCTCTCTTTAAAATGAGAGGTAAAGTGTTTCTCACTGCTGTGACACTGATAGCAAAGGTTTCTGTAGCACAACTCTTCATCTCTCTTATGCTTTTCAGATTGTTTGTAAAAGCGGGAAGTGGCAGAAAGCACTAAACATTGTTAATGTGCACTCCTCCCTTTTGTTTGTATCCTGTGGTCCTTGAACACATGCTGCCCATCCTTCATCAAAGTGATAAGTGTGTGTTTGTGCGTGTGTGTGAGACAGAAGCACGACCTAAACTTTGTTTATCCATCAATGTTTGGACTCATCTGTGTCCATGTTGGGTATAAAATAACCTTTTTAGTAAAGAATGAGGTTGTCAGAATCAGAGGTTTTGTGATGCTCTTCCCTTCTTGCCTCTCAGGCTTGGACGGAGGGGGGGGGGGGCGGGGGGGGGGGGGGGGGGGGGCGGGGCTGTGGACTGTGAGATCCTTATAAAACCTCACGGATCAAAAAGACCCTGAAGGAAGAAGGGGGCGATAAACATGTGTTGTGCTGAGTCTTCTGTCATATCTATTTCTCTTTTACTCTCTCCTCTCTCTCTCTTTTTGTGTTGCTTTTTGCTCATCCCGTAGCTACACTTTTTCAAGTCAACACGCTTTTCCCTCTACAGATAACATGACTGTGCTCATTAGAAATTAAATACGCAGCCTTTGAACGCAGCCTAAAATTATATTTTTATTTTGAGATGTCCAATTGAAATGCTTTGCTATGACAGGCTTGATCTCAAGTGTATTTTAAAAGTAATACATATGAAATAGTGCATTAGCTTCATTGATTGGCTGCTCTTTGTGCAACCATGTGATATAAAATTGTTATGTGGCAACTGCTCTTTGATATTGATCAGTATAATCCATTTTAAAGTAGAACAATGGGAACAATTCAAATGATATACTCAATTTAAATGTCATTTAAAAACTGGCAGGGTTGCTAGTGGAATAACGCCTCTTTATGTCCTGTGTGACATTTAAATGCAACATCTATAAATCTTTAATGTCTAGTCTGTTGTTAGAGGAGGACACTGATGTGTGGAACGAGAGCTCTGCATTTGCATTTGACCGTTATTTAACCTGCTGTTTATTCTTACTGAAATACTCCTATAGGACCAATTACATCCTCCTTTATGAATCTCGTATTATTTTCCCACACTTTTAGGCTAGAGGGCAGTGGCACACATTTAATAAACCCTATAATTACCCTGTCTGTGGTGTCATTGCATATAATCCTCTTCTCCTCTCTCCCCCCTCTCCTCCCTCTCCTCCCTCTCCTCCCTCTCCTCCCTCTCCTCCCTCTCTTCCCTCTCCTCCCCTCTCCTCCCTCTCCCCCTCTCCTCCCTCTCCTCCCTCTCTCCCTCTCCTCTCCTCTCCTTTCCTCCTGGGTTGAAAGAGATTCTCCTGCGTCAGCACACTTCTCCCACCTACCCACATTGTATTTAAGAATCCTAGAGGGAGTGGGATTAATGCATTCCACAGCTTTGATATTACGTAATGGTGAGTTCACACTCACAGGGGGTCAGCTGCTCTATAATCCCATGTATCCGGACCAAACTGTACTGATTTTAATGGTCTTACTAATGACTCACAAATGAAAAATATTCTCCACCACGCTCAGCTGCTCACATCGCACACTTTATGTGACTGTCATAAACTCGGAAGTGACCTATGGGTCACAGGTAAGACTAATTTCCCCAAAAATGCTTTGAGTGCAATGATGTCGCACTGATGCAGCACAGAGCAATAGTGTTTCGATGGAGAGAGGAAACCTGTGTCAGGGAGAGATGAGGGGAACGTCCTTTCAACTCAATTTTCTGAGATTAAGCTTAATGTTTTTCTGACTCAAATCAATGCTGGATATTGACACCTGATCAAGTTGCTAATAAAACTTTGGCTAAAATGTATGAACTTTCTAATTGCCCTTTTATAATAAGATATTGGGGCTTCAAATTATAATTATTTTCCCTATTGTTTAATGTGCATTCTTTTTCTTTTTATGATTTTTTTGTTTGTCATTAATAGTTAAATTCAACTCAGATAGTTGTTTCTAACTGATCAACCATCCCAAACAAAGATATAGTTGTTTACTATCAATGGGAGATGGATGGCTATGACAGAAAAGTCTTATGATAATGAGAAACTAAAACGATACAATGTAATCCATTTACAAAAGAGTTGCAGAATATTTTCCGTTGAATGAGTATCAATTCCTTGACTCATCATTTCAGCTCAAAAGATCAAAGTGTGATATTTACTCTGGAGGAAAAATGTAATTTGAATTATAACAAGATGGGTGTTATAGGGGACAAATAGGTCACACTTTATTGTAATCACTTTTAGAAGCATTGACTTAAACCTTCTAAATGGCTTATAGCACACCATACTTTGAAGATGTTAAGCATCTGTAACTACTGCATTAAAAGTTAATGGATGGTTAAAGTGCGATATAAGATCTCTAAAAACCCCCAAAGAAATATAGAAAGTTTACCCTGATTTAATTGTAATATCAAACTAAACCGTCAAGCTTAACATTTCTGTTGAGTTCTTCTGAACACAAAAACGCATGTTAATAACTAATGCATAACACACTTTAAGGAAGTCTTCATATGTGGATTTATATTTAGATAAAAGCTATGTTATTCTGTTAATCAATTATTCATTAACTGTTTGTAAAGCAGCTACAGAGGTCCCACAGGAGGAGCTATGCATGCATAAACTGTCCTCATATAAGCTAAACCGTTTTTAATTATTATTATTACATTAGTTATTATTTTGCCTACTGCTTATACATTTGTACCCCTTAATGAACAGTTCTGCCACCATGTATTATTATTATTGATTTATTTAAGGGTATTTGTGTGCTCTGTAACACCCTGCAGACTGCAGAGTAACAGACACGGGTGTCATCTCTAAGTTCTCTCTGCTGTCCCTCCCTGCTCACCAAGCCTTCACCCCACCTTGGCTGACCCACGATGCATTGGGCTTGATTTGTTGCCATGGCAATGAGCCAACTAGCCACCCATCATGTGAAGTGTGCAGGCCTCATTGGGACTTGTTCCTGAAAGTTGTTTTCCTTCTTTCCTCTTTTAACGTCTGCGATCTTTATCATTGCATCTACTGTGAGTAGATGTGTGCCTGGGATGTGTATAATAGACGAGAGCAGTGAGGAGGTTTCCTGCAACTGTTTGAATTGATGTGACCTATTTCTCTGAGCAGCCATCTACATTATGCGGTTTTCTGATGCATTTACAAAATGTAGCACTGTTTTTCTTGGTGTTGACGACTTCTTAAAAGCTCAATGCACTGTAGGGTTAGGCCTGTTTGGGAAATGGAACAGTATAATAATGTAAAATGGGAAAAAAACCGTCATGTTCTCCCTTGATTTTTCACTCGGGCAATCAGTGTGTTGTCTGTCTTTTCCTCACACCTAAGGGATGCTCTGAAATAGAGAGATGGGATGGGAGAGCTCTGGAATAATAAGAGAGTGGGGGGGAAGACTGAGAACATATCATATCATAAATGTAATACCAGCCTTCATTTTAGAAAAAATAGCCCATCTCCTTTTGCGCTTGACTTTAATATGGATTTGATGGATAGGCTGTGTGGTTTGTTCGATACCCATTTGCTGTAAGACCTCAAACACAGCTTGCACTGATAACCTGATCGGCCCCCCATTATCATGAGTGTGGCCTGTCACAGCAAAGCTCTCTGCTTAGTTTTTTCTACGACATGATTCATTCTTTATATTATATGAAGATACACTTAATGAAACAGATCCCAAGAAAAACTGTTTTTTTTATACTATAGGCCGCTTGGCTTGTTACTGTGTTATTCTTTAAACAAAAAGGACTCATATTTGTTAATGCCAAACCTTGATTGCTTTTATTGTTTCAGTGCTACAAAGTCCGTGACGTAGGATGTAAGCCCCGCGTGTCTCATAATTATATGCATGGCATCAACACATGACACGTGTTGCATGATGGCAATACAACGATGGCTAGAGTCAGACATTGGTTAAATACTGTATCTACAACACTGAATAAACATGAGCATGTACATTAAGAGCGAACGTTCCTGCAATGTCTCAATTCATCAGCGGCCAATGCACCTGGGTTCTTTTTTACACGGTCCTCGAACACACACCGAATGAAGACGGTCCCTGAATTAAAGTCTGTAGGCTTATTTTTCTTCCATACGGTCACTAAACATTTCCTGCTGTCAGTTAATTTACTCCACATCAAAGTCAAATGTTTTTACTGTGTTGTTACGCTCTGTGGAATTTGCATCTTATGATCTTCTTGAAAGCACTTTGGAAGTCTTTGTTGAAGTAGGCATATATGATGGGGTTGAGGAGAGAGTTGGAGTAGCCCAGCCAGTTTATGACTGCGAACAGCCAGTCCGGCATGTAGCAGCTCTCTGCACAGAAAGGCAGCACGAGAGCAACGATGAAGAAGGGCAGCCAGCAGAAGATGAAAGTCCCCATGATGATCCCCAGTGTTTTGACTGTTTTACGTTCCCTGGCCAGCGCGATCTTTCTTTTCGCCCCCGAGTTCCTATCATTCATGTTTTCGTAGCCATGCGTGGACTGGGGGGTGTTGGGCAGAGGCAGGTGCGTTTTTGAGCTGCTCATAACTTCAATGATCTCAAGTGACTCTCCTTCCTCTCCGTGCTTCACGGCCCCGTTTACGCACGGAGAGCCTTTGACCCCGGCTTCCCCGTTAGTTTTCTTGTGGAAGATGGCCGGAGAGACAGCCAAAAACTTGTCTGACACTTTTGCTTTTTCGACTTTCTTGACTTTCTTTACAGTCTTTCGAAACTGAAACCGAGCAGCCTTGAATATTCGCCCGTACAGGACCAACATGAGAATAAGAGGGATGTAAAAAGCCCCAAATGTGGAGTAGATTGTGTAGCCCGGATCCTGGCTGATGCTGCAGGCGTCTGGGTTCGCTCTGTCTTTGGCGCGTCTCCAGCCTAACATAGGCGGGATAGAGATTGAGAAACCAATGAGCCAAGTCACACTTATCAAGATCGCAGCTCGCCTCGGTGTCCGTTTATTTACATAGTCAATTGGATCTGTTATGGCCCAGTACCTGTCCAAGGCAATTGCGCACAGATGCAGGATGGATGAGGTGCAACATAGTACATCCAGAGAGATGAATAAGTCACATATTTCCTGCCCCAGTGTCCACTTGCTCAAAACCTGGTAGAGGGCCGCCATTGGTAGAACCAGCACCGATACCATGAGGTCTGTGACGGCCAGTGATCCGATCAGATAGTTAGCCACATTCTGGAGAGATCTCTCCAGGGCAATTGCTGCCACGACGCACGCATTGCCAAATATGGAGCAGAGGATGAGGGCCCCCAGGAGCAGAGAAGTGATAATCTGGTAACTTAGCTTCATTTCTGCCGGAGACCCAGACCCGGTGCCATTCTCACCCCCGTCCCAGTCGGCAACCACGTCTTCCCGGTGTGGGTAACTGCTGGTGGCGTTGCTGTCGTTGCTGCTTGTTGTTATAAAATCCATTATGCGACCGCACTCAGAGTGTAACTTTCTCAGGGCAGTGGGGACTCGCAGCTGGACAGATTAACAGGACACAGTCAGCCCCTCAGACTGCTGTCGCTGTGCGTTTTTCCGGGGTCCATCGGAGTTACCGTGTTGGTGCCGTCGCTCTCAGGACGCATGACGCAGACGTGTGTGTGAGTGTGTGCGTGTGCGTGTGTGTGTTTGAGGGGGGTTGTGTGTGTTGTAGCTCGTGAGTGTTGACAGCCGGGTGCCTTCACTGGTGCTGCGAATCATCTGAGCGTGTAGACGCCGTGAATTCATTTATACCTGCAGCTTGGGGTACGTCAGACCGTTTGGAGGTTGCCCTGGAGTTTTTGTGCCTCTGCTCTCCTCGTTTTTCCGTGTTTCTACTGCAGACAGCCGACGAGGGTGCAAAGCTCTTCTCTCCTTTTCTCTCCCCTTTATTTGATTATTTGGACTCACTGATTGTTCCAATTTGTGAATTCTGTAAGTTTACACCTTAGGAGTAAATCAGGGCTTTCATTTTGTGTTGTATTTATTACAATATTAGTAAGAAAGGAAAACATGTAATGCTTTCTTGTAAGGCAAAAAGAGCTTAAATAGAAATTCAGGAATAAGTGTTAATAAAGTGTTAAAGAGCGCAACAATGCATTTCAAGTCAGAATTAGAAAAGGTACCATGACCGGAGCCATTCGAGCGAGAGGTATAGTTTCAGGTCTAGGGCCAGCGCCAGGACAATCCAGAGAGGGAAGCTGCTGCCATCTGCTGCCCACAGCGGGTACAGCACCATATAATGCATGGAAACGTGTGTCAGAATGTTCAAGGCAGAGTACGTAGGAAGGATACGGATAGAGATGGTTGTGTGTGTGTGTGAACGATAATGTAAAGATTTGAAAGGGAGATGAAGGGGTAGCAAAGATGACATTCAAGACATTCTGCTCCACATTCCCATTGTACAGCAACCTGCTGCTGTCTTTCGTTCCAATTTTGAAATAAAACGTAATAAGCTTTAGCCCTTAAGTCGTATTATTTTTTACACAAAAGTAATACTGTCGCCATAAGTTTAGTCACATGGATGGATGGGTTTTATCAGGTGGCATGACGTTTGAGAAGTGTGCAATGTTGGCTAACTAATGACTGCTTCAAGCTGCACTTAATATTCAAAGTGGTTTCACTCATTAATTAAGTTCATAACATACAAGTGCCTAGCTGAGCTCTTTACTAACTTGCCTCTTCTTTAACATACTCCCCAGGACGGCATGCAATGCACATGGGTGTTGGTCTGTTCCACTTGACTTAACAATTTAGATCCTATCTGGTCCGGTCAGGTCCAAACTATTCGTGTGTACTTTTTTATCTTGTCTGACTAATTACAATTCAAGTGAATACCTACCTTTGAGAAGATATTGCGGAAGAAGTGGTAGAAGCGATTGCTGCTTCTCTTTGCTTTGATCTCCTCAACATCAACTTTGTTTTCTGAGACCCTCAGAGTCTGGTTGACACTGTTCAACAGAGATATGGCTGAGGGTTTCATCCTACTCATCATCAGAGTCGGTAAACTGATGATCTGATACAATAGATGGTATAGACAGAGATGAATAATTTGTTGGTATCTCTTGGTGTCTGGTCCTCATCCTCTATTTTCCTCACTCTAGCTGAATGGACCTACACGCAGCATTGCAGGATGTGGTGGAGGGTGTTTCTTGAGAACAAAGAGTGCCCTGTTTGTACTGTCCAGTTATCCTACATGTCAAGTCAGCACAATCAAAACTGAAGGGCTAATCTAAATGTTCAAGCGGCTAAGTCTTTGTCCTGCACCGTCTACTGAAACTTCTCCTGCACCGTCTACTGAAACTTCTCCTCCACTGAGACCTTTTTTTCTTTCCCTGACTAATATACAGCATCATGACCATTGTCTTGGGAGGCTCAGGGACCTCAACTTGCTTTGGCAGGCTCAGCAACCTCCAGTATCTTGGGATGGTCATGGACCTCCAGTGTCTTGACAGGATCCGTGTACTGCAGAAGCGCGTCAGTTTCTTAAAAATCACCTGCCCCTGTCCCCAGAAAAGCATCGTCACTGTCCCTCTCAGAAGTAATAATAATATTGATATTAATAACCATTCAGCCCTTTAGTTTGCGCATACCGTGTAATAAATGCATCTGTGATTTGCAGTTGGCATTTCCTCTCTTACATACAAACGTTTCCTGTCCCTCTCCTCTGTGAAGTTAAAAACTGTGTTTTGTATTTTGATTTGGAGACAACAGGTCAAAACTTTTATCCTGACATATTTCATTAAATACATTTAGATTTTCTGCAGGTCTAGAAGTTCCTTTGGGCAAGTACAGTGAAACACTTTAAAAATGTACCTTCAGAAAACTTGAATTTACACATTAAATAAAGCAATAGTCAGACACACACACGCACGCACGCACGCACGCACGCACGCACGCACGCACGCACGCACGCACGCACGCACGCACACACACACACACACACACACACACACACACACACACACACACACACACACACACACACACACACACACAATATCTGTGCTCAGTTTGCAAACCCCTGAGTGAAAAAAGCTGACACCATGGTTGTGGACGTGAGTTAAAAAAAGGTTACTCTGGTTTATTCACATTATTTTTGTTGTATTCAGTGGTTGCATAGCAGTGTTTTTTCTATAGGTCACATGGGACAATAGTACAGCTGTGAACAGTGCCCCTATTGTAATGGGGCTCACCAGGGGGGGCTTTGTCTTTATCAACAGTGTGGAATGTCCCAGCAGGCCAACCAGGGAAGGATAGCCAGGCCAGAGCGCTGCACTGCTCACCTCTACACTGGAACTGTCCCTCTACCTCCCATACATTCAGAAGGGCTGGCAGGCAGAGAGAAGACTCTGGGAAAGATGAGAGGGGAAAGACCAGGCTAGCTGGCTAAAGCTACATCAGCTGTGACTGAGGGGCTCAAAACTGCCGTCATGAGCTCCCATCTGGAACCATCTGGTGTAAATGGCAGAATTGGTGGTTGTGGAAGTGAGGATTCTGGTGAAGAAAACAGCAACAACAAGACGTATACCCCATATTTGAAACCAGTGAGACCTGGGCTAACAAGGGCAGATCCAGCCGGAGAGGGGGGGTCGGGCAGTGTGGAGGCACTGGTGAGACCTCCCTTGCCAGGGAAGAAAGCCCACAGGAAGACCTGCTCCAAGGAAAGAGTTAGATGTAGAGAAGGAAACCAAGACAGTGATGAGGAGAGACAAAATGTTGAACATGCAGGAGGCAGCGCAAGAGGAAAACAAAATCCGAGAAAGACTGTAAGAAGTGCTAAACATGGAGATATATCGCAGGACAGACGAGGAACAAGCAGCACTGAAAGTCTGTCGAGCAGTAATTCAGAGATCCTGTCAAACAGCACTTCGGAAGTTTGTGAAGGATCAAATAACTTCCAGAGAAGATACCAATGTCCTAGACATCCCACTGTTGACTGCACCAGGACCATCACCACAGATTTAAACTCCCTAGTCCCTCGGCCGGCAATGAGGCTCATGTCTTCTGCTCTCCCTTCACCTCCTATCCAAACCAGATCCTCAGCTATGTCCCTTCAGAGACTTTCATCCAGGACAGTGTCAGGAGACCTCCTCCGCTACCCATTAAGTTCATCAAGAGAGCCAGATCCGTTCTGGGTGGAGGTCAGGACAGCTGCTTCATCTGGACGATGGTCACAAATACCCCAGACACACATCGCCAGTTCAGTGCTCGGGGCAGGTGAAGGAGAGGAGGATGATGAAGAGGAGGGTTTGGAAGATGGCGAGGAAGGAGGCAGTGGTGTGGTGGAGGTGACGGGTCAAACCATGACCTCAGCAGTGATGCTGCCTTATGTTCCTTTTGGGGAGAGGAGGATGAGTAAAAGAGAGAAGAACAGGATTAAGTGTCTGAGAAGGAGGCAGAGGAGAAGAGAGAGGTGGAGACAAAGTCAACTGCAGGAGAGCAGACAGGTGAATGACAATTAACTGAGCCTTCCAACACCAATAAGTACTGAAGTCGCTGTTCTTTACCAAATGGGTTGTCAGTGGTTTAAGGATTAAGATCAGCTACCTACCTCATATCTTAGTGTGCTACAAGAGGAACCATAGAGCTTGTAATTAGATCATTGAATAATGTATGTTTCCCTCCCATTTCTTAATGCAGACTATGTTGTTACACTAACAGCAATATAAGAACTTGAGAGATAGTGGCAACCTATCATTGAATGTCATTTCTTTTAAAAAAAACAAACAAATTATGCATCTAAATCCATGTGCCTTCCTTATTAAGTTGCATGGCACTTAGTAAAAATACGATACTTTTGAATTACTGTAGTCTCAAGGCACTCCAGCATTAAATTACTAACTGATTCGGTTAAGGTTTGTTTATATTTTAGGATGAAAGTTTAATGCAATAAAGCAAGTAAGAGTTGTGTACATTTGAGTGTGTGGTAAACTACAATTGGCCGACTAAATTCTGGCATAATCGGTCCACGTTCTCTCTGTAACTATTTATAGCAGTTTTTGTCACGTGTATTTGTGTTCCTTTGTGTTTTTCACTTCATCTACACAGTCTGACTGCTCACAGTCCTATCAGCACCATGCTCATCTCAATAGCCATTGTCTTTGCGGTTTAAAGTGGGGTTACATCTGAATTGGTTGCATGATGAGGCCTGGTTGGAGAGCACTTCAAAAACAATCATACAAAAGATCAGATTCTGTTTTGATTGGCTGCTGCAGATCTGCAGTCATGTCGGTTGATAGAAATTATTCTTACTTCTGAATTAGATAAAGCTCAATAGAATTAGTTGCTTTGAAAAAGCAGAACATCCATTTACTAATTCAAAGCCCCCCTGCTGATTACATTGTTTTAGTTAAGATATTCCTCTCTTCCTCCCATTGGATTTGGCCTGTTAATGTATGCATGATGTATATACTCAAGCACATTTAATTGTGTCTATTTTAATCTGGTGGATTATTTCTGTAGAAGAGAACAGATGGCATGTGCCACCGTGTGGAAAATACATCAAGTGTAAGTGTGAATCCTATTCAATTTGCCCCATAGTTATGATTTAAGGGTAAATCAGTTTGGACTGTCCTACATTGAAAGGCAAGTCAAAGCATGACTCCATTAAATGATCAACTTGTCCTTTATCATCTATGTTGTGTGTCAATTAAGCAAGTGACATACCACATAATAAAGTGGCAATAGACACATCTTTACTTGTAA